TATCAGAGCCTCGCCGCCCCCCCACTTTCTCTTGTGGAATTTCTTAGCACAGGTAGGCTGGGCCTGTTGCATCATCCACTCTTCAAGCCCAATGGGCTCTTGTGTGAGGAGGCGTGTTGAGATATATAGTCTCACATTGGTTGTATGTGCAACTAATGTGGCCTTTATAAGGCCTTGGGCACTCCCACCCTTTGAGCTAGCTTTTGGGGTGGTGTATCCCAAGGTTCTTAACATATATCAATGAGTACAAAACAATTTTGGATTTTATGAAATTTTATGGCTATGATCTACACGGAAGGAACTTCCAATTTAGTGGTTGATTCTGTGAAGAAGTCATGTAATAAAAAGTTTATTCAATTTTATAAGATTGACTTACACTGGCACCCATTTCAAGTAACTTCTTTGTGGCAACAAATTTGGCTAATGAGTTGCCATAAATTCCAAAAAGTTTAGCTGTGATGAATCTTGTTACAGTGTCTTTTGGTGAGAATGTTTACATGAGAACTTTTGCAACTCTTAAGACACAATTTTCCCATAAAATTGTTTATTCTCTTAAGGATCATGATTTTGTATATTCATAACGACAACATTTATGGTCTTCCAAAGAATCGAAGTTGTAGCACTAATTTTTGTTTTAAGCCATTTTTCTCTGCTTTTTTTGAATGTGTGAATACTATGAATTAGTGACTTCAGTCTTTCAAAAACATATCTGTTTGCTGAAAAATATCTTCTATTTGTTTTTTTTTTTCCAATAATTTGGGTTGTTTGAGTGTCATTTCTATTTTCCAAATGATCATTTCTACCCATGCAGCCAAGAATCTATGTAGGAAGAGGAATGCATGAAAGTCAATTTGCTCTCCTAAAGTAAGTTTCATACAACACTATGTTATTGAAGTGATTTATGATATTGTGCCCTTGTTTACTGTTTTAGAATTGTTCCATCATCTGGATTCTTTTACGAATTTCAGGTATACTACTTTCTGGGTGTTGCTTTTGGCTTCCAAATTTTCATTCAGCTTTTTTGTTCAGGTAAAATTTTTATATTTGCAGTAGTTGTTACTTACCTAATAAACTAGCCTTGGGAAGTTGTTGGGCCTCGTTTTAACTGTTGTATCTTTCTTCAGATAAAACCTCTGGTTAAGCCAACAAAGGACATAATGAGCATTCAACATGTTGATTTTGCTTGGCATGAGTTTTTCCCCAAGGGTAGTTTCTCCTTCTTTTTCATGATTGCATTTTAACTTGCTGTTAATTTTAGTGATCCAATATTTTTCGGTCTTTGCAGCGAAACATAACTATGGTGCAGTTTTTGCGCTCTGGGCTCCTGTACTTATGGTGTGCAATATATCCTGGTTATATTTACATATATTAATCTTTTTCACTTGTTCAGGTATCTCAGTGTATCATCTCATCATTTGCATTTTCGATACAGGTTTATTTCATGGACACTCAAATTTGGTATGCGATCTTCTCTACTTTGTATGGTGGCATTGCTGGAGCCTTTGATCGTCTAGGAGAGGTCATTGTCAATTTGTCTTATTTACCTTGCTATGTCTGTAGAGAATTTGAGATATACTATCGTATAGGGTTTCTAAATTTTTGTAAAACAAAGGCACATGCAAAAACTCAAACCTATTTATTCAAGAAATTTATAAGATCCTTTTGGATATAAAGTACTGGATCATCATTTGCTTATATCTTTATGAATTTCCAAAGCCTTTAATTTGTAATGAAACTTGGACTTTCCTTTTCATTTTACGGGTGAACTTAAGATTGGATTACTTTTTTGAATTCGAAAAAAAGTAAAATACTTCAGTTCACAATCATGTAACAGTCACTAAAATACTTCAGTTCATATTCTTATCTATTTAATTGCACAGATACGCACTCTGGGCATGGTAAGGTCACGATTTCAGTCATTGCCTGTTGTATTCAACACAAACTTGGTTCCTTGTGATAAGAAGCAACATGGGAGAGACTCTTTCTCGAAGCAATTTACTGAGGTTGCTATTTTCATTGCTAAGTACATTAAAATAAAAGTATTTATTCATCTTCACTTTAGTTTCCATGCTTGTATAGAATTCTGCGAGCAGAAGGAGTGAAGCTGCCAAATTCGCTCAATTATGGAATGAAATTATTTGCAGTTTTCGTGAGGAAGATCTCATAAATGATAGGAAAGATCTCAGAGCCAAACTCTTTTAGTTGATTTCCCTTGTTCTCAATCCTAGCATCTACACTTTCTCCTCCATTTTTTGATTTGCTGTAAATCACCTACTTAGGACTAAACTATGCTTACATGACTCCAGGGAGATGGATCTTTTGCTGGTTCCTTACTCAATGGGTCTTAATCTGAAAATAATTCAATGGCCACCATTTTTGCTTGCAAGCAAGGTCAGCGTGATTCAATTTTAATATTTTTATGTTTGTTACCAGTTCATATGATTGACACTGCAACCTTGTCAGATTCCTGTAGCACTGGATATGGCAACTCAGTTTCGAGGCAGAGACTCTGATCTTTGGAAGCGAATATGTGCAGATGAATATATGAAATGTGCTGTGATAGAATGCTATGAATCTTTTAAACATGTTCTACATGATCTAGTTATAGGCGAAACTGAAAAAAGGTATCTTTGGGTGTCTTCTCGTGTTGGTTTATGTCAATTACAGACTCAATTCAAGGGCGAGCCTTGGAGCAGCGGTAAGGTTGCTCTTTGTGACCTGAAGGTCACGGGCTCGAGTTTGGAAAACAGCTTCTTTGAAAAAAGAAAAAAAAATACTACGGGTAAGGCTGTGTACAGTTGACCCTCACCCCTACCCTCGCAAGTTGGGGAGCCCTGAGTTTCGGGGTTTGTCCTTTACGTATTAGATCTGGTTCCATTTGCACTCTATACTGCTTAGATATGTTTTATAAAAGGTTTTCAAATTTGGCTCTTGCAGTCTATCAGTCCTTTGGGGTTTCATGATTACACTAAGTTGTTTTTATTTTACCTTTTTTATCTATATATATTAAATATTTTTCCGAGCTACTTGACAACACACGGTAAATATATGAAGGAAGAAATGGTTAACTTGCCTAATCAATATTGATTTGACCCACATTAATTTAAAATTTCATATTGCATTACAAAGAATAAGAGGCCGAGCCTAGTGCAGTGGTAAAGCTGTTCCTTTGTGACTGAAAGGGTGTTCGAACCTGGGTAACAACCTCTTTGCAATTATGCAAAGGTAGGGCTGCTAACAAGGATTGCCTTCATCTTACCCTGGCTAGTCAGGGTTTAATGAGGAGTTATTTATTGCATTACAAAGAATCAATCAGTATTTCTCATCAGCTGTTTTCTGATTTTCTTAAGTAGCACATATAATTGAAGCTATAGAGATTTAATTAAAATTGAATCATTATCAGTACTTCTGAATTCATTGTGATGAACCAGTATAATTTACATCATCATTAAAGAAGTCGAGAGCAACATCTCAAAGAATACTCTTATTACAAATTTCCGGATGGGCTTTTTACCATCCCTCTGTAAGAAGTTTGTGGAGCTTGTGGAAATCTTGGTGAGTCATTTAAAAGAAAACTAACTATATCTTTTGTTTGTATTCTTGAATGGTATCTTGTCTTTGAATTTTCTATTTGAAAATTTGAGCATTATTTTCTTGTCACAGAAAGATGCAGATCCATCCAAGCGAGGTACAGTGGTGGTTTTGCTGCAAGACATGTTAGAAGTGGTTACTGATATGATGGTGAATGAGATCAGGTTGGTTTAACTTAATGGCACTGAATTTGGAATATATTAATATAATGCTCATATATCTTTTATTAAAAATAATAATGCTTGCTTTTTTTTTTCCTTGTGATTTTCATTAGTGAATTGGCAGTACTTAATCAAAGTAGCAAGGATACTGGACAACAAGTTTTTGCTGGTACTGAGGCAAAACCTGCTATATTATTCCCTCCTGTGGTTACAGCACAATGGGAGGAACAGGTACTTAGTAATACAAGTTCCATTATATTTTTTCTTGAGTTTATATTATTATCATTATTATTCAATGATCCAGAGGTTTCTATAATAACCATTGAATCATTATGGTTGTTTCAGATGAGACGTCTTTATCTCCTCTTGACAGTGAGGGAATCTGCCATTGAGGTTCCTACAAATGGTGAAGTACGCAGAAGGATTGCATTCTTTACCAATTCATTATTCATGGATATGCCGAGTGCTCCCCGAGTCCGTACGATGCTCTCATTCAGGTCTGTTGCAGTTTCCTTAATACATGGCAGCCAAGATATATGACCATGTTATGCCTTGTAAAGATTATAAACTGCAGGAACATCATGCTTTTATTGTGCGCACTAAACCATGCAAATTAAATTTCAACAGCCTAACAAAGCTAATAGAAGCCATATCCATCAGTGTTATATGATGTTTTCTTTAGATTGGGATGACTTTAACTATTGCAAGATTACTATGTCTTGTATATTAGACCAAAATGCTCATTTTCGAGTTATTTATTATTTTTTGTCGAGGAATTTTTATGCATAAAATTCAAAATGTGATGCATTTTGAAGCTGTCCAAGTGCTTATATATAGCTCTTTGGTTCTTGTTTGCAGTGTTCTAACTCCATACTACAGTGAAGAGACTGTATATTCTAAGAATGACATTGAGGTTGAGAATGAAGATGGCGTGTCAATCATATATTACCTGCAAAAAATCTTCCCTGGTTTGTATTTACTTACACAATAGTTTGACTTTATATTGATAATAGAGAACGGACTAGCTGAATTATAGTAATTTTGCCAGATGAATGGAATAACTTCATGGAGCGACTTGACTGTAAGAAAGATAGTGAGATATGGGAGAAAGAGGAGAATATATTGCAGCTACGTATCTGGGCCTCATTAAGAGGACAAACTCTTTGCAGGACAGGTATTACTCCCTTTCCACTCGCCTCTGGCTGGATTTGGTCAACTGATATTTTTCCTCTTTTACTTTTATTAATGTAGTTAGGGGAATAATGTACTACCGGAGGGCTCTAAAGCTCCAGGCATTTCTTGATATGGCCACTGAAAAAGGTAAGACTGAGTTTCTTTTATTCTTAGATATTTAGCTAAATCTAGTAGGTACTTACGTACTGTGGCAGGCTTGTGATTTGTAGTTTTTTCAAACGCTGGGCCTTAGTATTTTCTTATGTATACATATCTTTAACACTTAACAATTTCCTCACTTATATGAAATCCTGTAAAAGGGCTTGTCATATTCATCATGGTGGCTGAAAAAAGAGTAGTTATCCCCCAGAATGATGCACATTTTTTTTGTCTTGTGGGCAGAGATACTCAATGGCTATAAAGCTATTATAGTTCCATCTGAGGAAGATAAAAAGAGTCAGAGATCCCTATATGCCAATTTAGAGGCTATGGCTGACATGAAATTCACATACGTTGCTACTTGTCAGAACTATGGGAATCAGAAGCGTAAGGGAGACCGCCGTGCAACAGATATCCTGAATTTGATGGTTAAGTATGTTCTCCTATTGTTTATTGAATTTTTTAAGTGCAATATACATTTGGCTTTTAGTTTCCCAAGTCCACTTGATTTGAAGAATCTAATTTTTGGTTATTCATTTATAGCAATCCCTCACTTCGTGTTGCATATATTGATGAAGTTGAAGAAAGAGAAGGTGGAAAAATACAGAAAGTTTATTATTCTGTATTGATCAAAGCTGTGGACAATCTTGACCAAGTAAATGCATATTGATGTCAGAAAAGTAGTAGTTAATTACTGGTGGTTACCTTAGAAATAATTGTTTTTGTATCTTCTCCGAAGGAAATATATCGAGTAAAACTTCCAGGTCCAGCAAAGTTAGGAGAAGGAAAGCCTGAAAACCAAAATCATGCCATCATTTTTACTAGAGGGGAAGCACTTCAGACTATTGACATGAACCAGGTAAAACATTTTAAATTTTGAAGCTTTAACAAGCTGACAATGGGTATCAGGGCATATTAAAGATGGTGTATTGAAAATTTCTTCTAGGATAATTACTTGGAAGAAGCTTTAAAAATGCGTAACCTTCTGGAAGAATTTAATGAGGATCATGGAGTGCGCCCACCTACCATATTAGGTGTTCGTGAGCATATCTTTACTGGCAGGTTATGAATTTTCTTCTACTTAGAGCTAACACTTTGACGTGTTTAGATCCTAAATTACTTAATTTTATCACTTGTTACAGTGTCTCTTCCTTGGCTTGGTTTATGTCAAATCAAGAAACCAGCTTTGTTACTATTGGTCAAAGAGTTCTTGCAAGACCGCTAAAGTGAGTTTTTTCTTTTTCAGTGATATTATTACACGGTTGACTAATTAGTACTTGTTAATCTTGTATGATAAATTAGGAACCTCCTGAGAAACACATGGCTAATATAAGGCCTCTTATAAAGTTAAGGCAAAATTTTAATTTAAGAGGGCGATGGATAAAAGATATTTGAAACTAGTTTTGTTAGAGAATAATATAAACTATTAAAAAGGCCATCACCCAATACCTTAATGTTTTGGGCAGAATAGGTTCTTTAGATGATATCAGAGTTTCAGTGACCCCAAGGTCACGAGTTCGATCCTCATTGCCCCTCACTTTCAAATGGAATTAAATAAGCACAAGATAAAACCAAAAATAAAAATAAAAATTGGGCCTGTGCAATATCCACACTTCAAGCCCAAAGGGATCTTGCGTGAGGGGGTGTGTTAGGGAATAATATAAACTATTAAAAAGGCCATCATCCAATACCTTAAGGTTTTGGGTTGAATTGGCTCTACTTGAAAAGAAAGAACTTGAAAAGTAGGATTGTATTATGTGAAAATTGTGTATTACAAATATACAAGAGCTCTTTATTTATAGAGACTGAATGACCTAATGGGCCAAGCCCAAATAAGATTCTAGAATGAAAATAAATAATTACAGTTATTTACAACACTTCTTCTCAAGCTGAGGAATAGATATTTATCATTCTCAGCTTGCTAGTAAGCTTTTGAAATCTATCTGAGGGAAGTACATTCGTCAGAATATCAGGTAATTAACGTCCAGAAGAAATGTATGAAGTGGCGATCAACCCGCTATCCAGTTTATCTTTGATGAAATGACGGTTGACCTTAATATGCTTAGTCCGATCATGTTGAACTGGATTATGAGCTATACAAATGGCTGGCGATCAACCCACTATCCATTTTATCTTTGATGAAATGATGGTTGACCTCAATATGCTTAGTTCGATCATGTTGAACTGGATTATGAGCTATATAAATGGCTGACTTATTATACAAAATAGCTTCATAGGTCCTTCACATCTTATTTTAAAATCATCAAGTATAATCTTCAACCACAATAATTCGCAAATGCCTTGAGCCATAGCTCGAAATTCAGCCTCTGCACTTGACCTGGCAACCACATCCTATTTCTTACTCCTCATGTCACTAAGTTACCACAAAGGAACATACAATAACCTGTGGTAGATCGACGGTAAGTCACGGATTCAGCATAATCGACATCAGTATAAACTTCTAAAGAAAGATTGCCATCATGCCAGAATAACAGTCTTTTACCAGGAGTGGCTTTAAGGTACTGAAGAATTCTCTCTGCTGCCTGCATGTGTTTGTCTTTTGGATTATGTATGAACTGACTCACAATACTTACAACATAAGCTATGTCTGGTCTAGTATGAGCCAAATATATCAGTCTCCCAACTAGCCGTTAATATTGTCCTTTATCAACCGGAGGACTTTCCTCTTCATAACCAATCTTGTGATTCTGCTCAATAGGAGTAGTAGAGGGTTTACACCCAAGTTTTCCTGCTTTTTTAAGAAGATATAGGACATATTTCCTCTGATTAATAAAAATTCCTTGCTTTGAATGAGCTACATCTATCCCTAGGAAATATTTCAATCTCCCAAGGTCTTTAATGTCAAATTCAGAGGCTAGTCGTGCTTGTAGAACATGTCTCTCTACAATATCATCCCCTGTTATAATAATGTCATCAACATACATAACGAGAACAGTGAGCTTCCCATCTTCCCACCTTGTGGGTGCTTAAAGAACAATGTGTGGTCTCCTTGACTCTGTCTGTATCCTAAGGTCATCATAACCTTAGTAAACCTCCCAAACCAGGCACAAGGAGACCGCCTCAATCCATACAAGGCCTTCTTTAACCCACAAACTTTATTTTCTCCATCCATAGAGTCAAAACCAGGCGGGATTTTCATGTAAACTTCTTCTAATTCACCATTAAGGAAAAAATTCTTCACATCAAATTGATTTATATCCTAGTTGTGATGGGCAGCAAGGGACAACAAGGCTCTTACAGTATTCATCTTTGCAACTGGGGCAAAAGTTTCTTCATAATCAATGCAAGAGGTCTGAGTGTAACCCTTAGCGACTAATCGAGCCTTATGTCTCTCAAGAGTACCATCAGAATCGTACTTTAGGGCATAAACCCATATGCACCCTGCTGCTTTTTTTTCATTGGGTTTATCAACAACCTCCTATGTTTTATTCTTCTCCAAGGCATTCATCTTCTCATACATGGCCTGAACCGAATTCTCATCTTTTAATGCTTTGTGCACTGACTTTGGGATGGAAATGGAATCCAGTGCTGACATAAAGCTTTTGTGCTACAGAAAGGTTAGTAGAAGAAACAAATTGAGAGATGGGGTGTTGGGTGCAAGATCTTTTTCCTTTCTCAAGGCAATGGGTAAGTCATCAGAGACAATAATCTCATGTTCAGAAACAAGAGATTCATGACTTACCGTGATTCATGACTTACTTGAAGGTTCTGACACATCAAGAGTAGACACAGGAGGGAGAGGTGTAGGAGTAGACAAGGACGACCCAGACTCAAAGAAGGAAGAGGACGAGTCTTCTGAAGAACTGCTCTCCCCCTAAAGATGAAGACCCTGGAAAAAGGACTCAGATTCATGAAAGGTGACATCATTAGAAACAAACAAAAAGTTTTCGACTCGGAGGATGATAACACTTGTAGCCTTCTTTATCAGGGGAATAACTAAGGAAGACACACTTAAGAGCCCTAGGATCCAACTTACTGCAATGTTGTTTATGAACATGGACAAAGGCAACACACTCAAACACTCGTGGCGGAAGACTCTGCAAAATGGGAACAGAAGGAAAGAAGAAAGTCATGGAATGAATAGGACGGGTATTGTTAAGGACCCGTGAAGGTAAGCGGTTGATCAAAAAGGCTGTAGCTAACACGGCTTCTCCCCAATAAGAACTAGGAATAGATGTCTGGAAAAGTAGTGCTCTACCGACTTCAAGGAGGTGATGATTTTTTTTTCAGCAACCCCGTTTGTTGAGGGGTATCATCACATGTGAGCTCATGAATCATCCCTTTGTCTAAAATGAATTGCGACAGACGTTGATTGACGTACTCAATATCATTATCAGATCTTAATCTTTTAATATTCTTACCAAACTGCGTCTCGACCATGTGATAAAATCGGATAAATATCTCTGGTACTTCAGACTTGTCTTTCATCAAGAATATCGATATCACCCAAGTACAATCGTCAATAAAAGAAACAAACCACTTTGCACCTGAAACATTGTGCAATTTAGAAAGGCACCAAACAGAATGAATCAGAGAAAAAGGTTCAATGCTTTTGATAGCACTAGAAGGAAAGGACACTCGATGGTGTTTTGCAAATTCACAAACATCTCAATGAAATGTCTCAACTAATTGATTTAGAAATAGAGAAGGAAACATTGACTTCAATAGACTAAATGATGGGTGCCCCAGAAGCTTGTGATGGAGTCAAATCATAGACTCTACCGTAGAAGGATGACGTGTCATCAATAGCTGATTTTTGGTATCATTTGTAGCATGTTCTGGAAGGAGATAATATAACCTACCCTGCTCCTTAACAACTCCAATTGTCTTCCTTGTGGTAAGATCCTAAACAACACAATGAGAAGGAAAAAAGGTGATAGAACAATTCAAATCAGTTGTAAGCTTTTAAGTGGAGATAAGATTAGTGGAAAGCTGAGGAACATAAAGAACATTTTTAAGAAACAAGGAAGGTTGAA